CAACAGTAGTATGATATATAAATGGGATATATATATATATATATATATAACTAGATTGTTATAGGCTATAACAACCTTTAGTTAAGTCAACTTGTGTCATTATAAGTTACAATGACTAATTTTGGGTTGTTATAAGCTTAGCGACTCAAGCTTAATGACTAAAAATAAATAAATATTTTGTCACGTGTCACAAGTATCGATGTAAATTAAGTGATACTATGTTAAACAACTTTAATGGCATAATATGTTTTAAAAACAATCTCATTTGTGTAAAATATTTGTAAAAGAATCCCACAAAAGTCAAAAAGTCATTTTCATGTCATTAGTTTTTCAACTTCCAACATGTCTACCGAGTTGGAAGAATTGTTATGATTAGGATATAAACAAGATTTCACATCAATAAAATAAGAAAAAATAACAGTTTATAAAAGAGACACATATTTTAATTATTGAAAAACTTTTTGAATAATAGCTAAAAATAAAATCATGAAAACTTAGACTTAAAGCGGGTAATGTCTAATCATTATGAAATTGTGTGTGAAATAAGAAGAAAAAAACTAAATAATAACAAAGTTTTAATTTTTTTATATAAATATTCTTTCAAATAAATACAATAAAACACTAGTCGTGGGTGATTGGGTATCGCAGGCTGCTAGCGTAAGAAGATTTGTTGTGCATACATATTCCATCATGTCTTTACATTTGCGATGCTAAGGTGGGAATGACACGAATGGGTAGAGTGTGTTTGCATTCCAGGAGGGATATAGCCTAACTCAGACGAAGAAGGAGCTGTATTTTGATTTTCACTTTCGTTGCTCTTTAAACAGAGACGTCTCTTCCCCATGTTTTATTTATTGTGTAAAATACAGAGACAATTTTATTCGACTAAGATAAAACTATTATATGATAAACTTATTTTTAACATTTGTTGCATTAAGAAAAATTAATTTAATTAAGAATTTTTAAAAAACAATTAATATAAAGTCGTTTTAAATTAACTTTTATAATAAAAATTAAACAACACTTTTATCGGACTTTTATAAAAAGCAGAGGAGAGAATAGTATAAATGTTTATATACATGTATCTGCACACTATTTTCAACGTGACAAGGTGTGAGAATTCATAATCTTTGGACCATTCTTCACAAATTCTATAGCAGTAAAAAGAAGTGTCAAATTACTGAAGGCGCTATTTCGAAGATCGTCCTCCAATGCGTAATGGGTTGGCAATGGATTTAAACCAAATCCAGTTAGCTTTAAGCTGTTGTGGACGCTTTCAAACTATCAAACATGCTAAATCACTTCATTCTATTATAATTAAACTTGGCCTTTTCAATAACGTCTTTCTACTAAACAACATGATCTCTGTGTATGCAAAATGTTCCCATTTCGACGATGCACAAACCCTTTTCGACGAAATGCCTCACAGGAACATAATTTCCTACACAACAATGGTCTCTGCATTCACCAATTCTGGGAGGCCCCATGAGGCTCTCACACTATACAACCACATGCTGGAATCCAGAACAGTGCAACCCAATCAGTTCCTGTACTCTGCGGTTCTCAAGGCATGTGGTCTCGTGGGTGATGTTGAATTGGGCAGGTTGGTTCACCGACATATATCTCAAGCTAAGTTGGAGTTTGACACTGTTCTGATGAATGCCCTCTTGGACATGTACGTCAAATGTGGGAGCTTGAGGGATGCAAAGCGAGTTTTCCATGAAATTCCGTGTAAAAATTCCACCTCATGGAACACCCTCATTCTTGGACATGCTAAAGAGGGTTGCATGAGGGATGCGTTGAATCTGTTTGATCAAATGCCAGAACCAGACCTTGTGTCTTGGAACAGCATCATTGCTGGTCTTGCAGATAATGCTAGCCCCCATGCTTTGCATTTTGTTTCTATGATGCACGTGAGGGGCCTTAAACTTGATGCATTCACATTCCCATGTGCCCTCAAAGCGTGCAGTCTTTTTGGCGAGTTAACCATGGGGAGACAAATTCATGGCTGTATTATCAAGTCAGGGTTTGAGTGTAGCTGTTATTGTATATCAGCATTGATTGATATGTATTCGAATTGCAAGCTATTGGATGAAGCGATGAAGATATTTGATAAGAACTCTCCTCTTGCTGAAAGCTTGGCAGTATGGAATTCCATGCTTTCTGGGTATGTTGCCAATGGAGATTATGTGAAGGCTCTCAGTCTGATTGCTTGTATGCATCATTCTGGTGCACTGTTTGATTCCTATACCTTTAGTATTGCTTTAAAGGTCTGCATCTATTTTCATAACTTAAGATTGGCGTCTCAAGTGCATGGATTGGTCATCACAAGTGGCTATGAGTTAGATTATGTTGTTGGTAGCATTCTTATTGATCTATTTGCTAAACAGGGAAATATTAACTATGCATTAAGATTGTTTGAAAGCTTGCCGGATAAAGATGTTGTGTCTTGGTCAAGTTTGATTGCTGGTTGTGCTAGATTTGGTTCAGGAACATTAGCTTCTTCCCTCTTTATGGATATGGTTCATTTGGATCTTGAGATTGATCATTTTGTCCTTTCAATCGTTCTGAAAGTTTCTTCAAGTTTGGCATCACTTCAAAGTGGCAAGCAAATTCATTCTTTCATTCTTAAGAAGGGGTATGAATCAGAGGGAGTTATTACAACTGCTCTTATTGATATGTATGCAAAATGTGGTGAGATTGAGGATGCCTTAGCTTTGTTTCATTGTCTTTCTGAAATAGATACCATGTGTTGGACAGGGATCATTGGGGGATGTGCACAAAATGGAAGAGCAGACGAGGCAATTAGTCTTCTGCGTAAGATGATAGAATCTGGTACAAAGCCAAATGAAATCACCATTCTAGGTGTTCTCACTGCATGTAGACATGCTGGCCTAGTTGAAGAGGCATGGACTATATTTAAGTCTATCCAAACAGAGTATGGATTGACACCATACCCAGAACATTACAATTGTATGGTTGATATACTTGCTAAAGCAGGACGTTTTAAAGAAGCAAGAAAATTGATTAGTAACATGCCATTTAAGCCTGATAAAACTATATGGTGCTCCTTGCTTGGTGCCTGTGGAACTTACAAGAATAGACATCTTGCAAATATCGTTGCTGAGCATCTTCTTGCTACCTCGCCAGAAGATGCTTCTGTGTATATAATGCTGTCAAATGTTTATGCATCACTTGGAATGTGGGATAATTTAAGCAAAGTGCGAGAAGCTGTCCAAAAAGTAGGCATAAAAGGAGCTGGAAAAAGCTGGATCGAGATCCCTAGTTGAGAATAATGATTTTTTGAATGGCTTGGTTCAGCTAGCTTAATTCCTCGTAAATAAGATATTTCCAAACAAGTCACTTATGTGACTGGAATTTGAACTGTAAAAGACAGTCTTTATGTTTTGGTGACTGTCAGTACAATCAGAAAGTAATAGCGCAGAAGTGTCAAATTAAAGGACGTTTAGATGGAAGATACTACGCCAAAGAATGCAGCAGTTCAGTCCGATTAGCTTTTTATACTTTCTATTGCCATGGGGTTTCACACGTCCAATGCTGCCTCTCCAACAAAGAGATAAAAGCTAAAAAGGTAAATACAAATTGTACTTCCAATAGCATTTATACGGTTATACCTCTTGTAGTTTTGATTACATTTAGTTTTAATTAATCAATTTCATATTATTGCCTTTTTTTTGTAATTTTTAAATTTACTTGATCTTTTTGTACACTAGTAGTGTTATTAAACAAACTTACCTTTCTACATTTTTTTGTTGTGTTTGCAGAAATCATCTGGTCTCAGCTCCTCTTTTAGCAAGGTTCAGCTGGACCATTCTTCACAAATTCT